GTGCTGTCAAACTTGCCAGGTTGTGTTACTGTCGCCTTACAATGAAAGTAGTGTTAGTGCTCCCGGTGGGTCCTTCTTCTCTGGATCACCTTAAAGGCTGACTGGGCTCCCTCCCCCTCATTCCCCACCCCTCCCCATTTGGTGGGGGGAAAGACATCCACCTGCTGGCTTTGGGCCTGATGTTCTTTGGGGGGGCGTGGGAGTCCCGGAAGAGCCGCCCTGACACTGACGGGGAATATCTCTCTCTCTCTCTCTCTCTCTCTCTCTCTCTCCCTCCCTCCCTCCCTCCCTCCCTCCTTCCTTCCTTCCTTCCTTCCTTCCTTCCTTCCTCCCTTGGCAGGCTGAGGGGGGGTGGGAATGTCCCATGGGGGCTCCCAGGGCTCCTTGGCAGCTGGACACAAACAGGACCCTTGCCCCCACCCTGCAGGGCAGGCCACCCCTCTTCTCCCCTGCTCCCTTCTGCGTCCAGTTACCCCCGGCCCTGCGCTGGTTTTCATCCCTATTGTCTCCCTTTTAATGACGCGCCTTCCCCTCCTGGCTGTTTCCGATTCTTGCAGGACAGAGCTACGATGAGACGGTGGATATCTTCTCCTTCGGGATCGTGCTCTGCGAGGTCAGCCTAGCCCAGCCCATGGAGGGGGATTGGTGGGGTGGGGGGCTGGAGGATCGATCCTATCCAGGCAAATGCCAGGGGCCGCACCTGGGAACCGGAGACAAAAAGTGAGGGTGGGCTTGGACCTCGTCTTTTGGACTGTCCAGAGGAAGATTCCGTGGTCAAGCACAGAAGTGGGTTTGTCTCTGGTATGGGTCTCTGCTCGTTGCTCCCCTTTCCCGGCCAACGATTGCACAATTGGGGTCTTTTGATGGTCACACCGGGTTGACCCTCCGCATTTCCCAAACGGGCTGGCCAGTTCAGACCCTCTTGGCCAATGGACTCGGTCTCTGGACTGAAGGGGGGCGAAGACTTCAGGAGGGGAAGCCCGTCTGGGAGCTGAGGGCAGCTCTCCTTTTGCTAACTTCTTGTGAATCCTCTGAAAGATAAAATGTGGAACTCTTAGTAGCACACAAACAGTTCTCCCATTTCAATATTTTTTCTGAGAAAGAGATTATATAAGAAATAGGAACGTTTATCATCTGACCCACTGCCTAGCAACTCTGTAATTTTTTTAAATAAATAGCACATATTTCCCCGCATCCGAGATAACGAACCCAGGGATAACAAACCAACAGTTTTTGACCGCAAATTTATTTTTCATCACTAAAAGTCTACCATGTGTCAAAAATTGATCGATTGTATTTTTTAACCACCCCTCTCCCTCAGGGAAAGTCTGGGTAGCATACCATATATTGCGGTACTCATTGCGGACTTCCAATTTTTCTACAGTGGCTTATTTCAAACGAAGCCAGCAGAAGATCCATTCTGAATTCCTGATTAACAATTTTTGTAAATATTGACTGTTCCTTCCCTGCAGTTTCTAAGATTTGAGCCCATTCACCATATGTGAAAACCTTTTCCTGCTTTTCTGGTAGTTATTCCAGCAAAGCACCCATATAATTTTCTCCTATTTGGGGGGAAGGGCAGGGACAAGAACAGGCCTGGACATTCAAATCTTAGCCATAGCTTCAAGGTTATTTTCTCAAACTTAAGTCCAACCCACCTCGTCCTGTGGCAAGAGTCATCCACTGTAGGGGAGGTTGCAGGGCCCTGAGCCCTCCCTGCCTGTCGGGGGGGGGGGGGGGCAGTTGATCTGCTTCGCAAAAGCCAGGCTAGCAGGCACGGATACTGTGGCACCCAGGGAAGGTTGCCAAGAGCGGGTGCGAGAAGGGAGCCTGCTGTCCCCAGCCTTGGGCTGCCTGGGTGCTTGCGGCGGCCTCCTGCTTAGGCCTGGGGCTCCTTTCTCTGGAAGGAACCGTTGAGTCAGCAGAAGCAGCCGCAGGGGGCTGAGCCGCACGCTCGGCTTGAGGTGCCCGGAGAGGGAATGACGGGCCGTTGCTCTGCCTCCAGATCATAGGACAGGTGTATGCCGACCCGGACTGCCTCCCTCGCACCCTGGATTTTGGCCTCAACGTGAAGCTGTTCTGGGAGAAGTTTGTTCCCATGGATTGTCCTCCAGCCTTCTTCCCTCTGGCAGTCATCTGCTGCAGGCTGGAGCCAGAGAGCAGGTCAGTCTGTGGGTGTGGGTGTGCCTCCTCTGCCCCACTGGGCCCTTGGGGGGGCTGAAAGCAAGCCGTTTAGGCAAGGGAGAGGTAGGCAAGGCAGCCCCCCATGGCTGATCCTCTCCTGGGTTTCCCAGCCGCTTAAGAGGCTGGGGCAGAAGCGGCTCCCTACCTGGGCACAGAATGGAAACTCAGGGCCAGCTCCCTTTGGGGAGAAAGGCTGGCCATCCTGCTGGGAGGTCTGCTAATGGCGGCTGCTGCTCTGGAAGCAGGAAGCGTGGCTACCTTCCCTTCTCCCGCCTTCTCTCCTAGGCCCCCGTTTTCCAAACTGGAGGATTCCTTTGAAGCCCTTTCTTTGTACCTGGGAGAACTGGGCATTCCCCTCCCTTCAGAACTGGAGGAACTGGACCACAGCGTGAGCATGCAGTTTGGCCTGATTCGGAACAGGCACTCCGACGATCTGACATAAGTCCCACCTCTCGGCCTTCGCTGTGCGGCTTCTTTGCACGGATTGTCCTGGAGGCAGCAGAAAAAGCCTCCATCTCAGCTGGGGGTTTTTTTTGGGGGGGGGGGCGGGATGACAACAGGAAGGCGGCCTCTTCTCTCCACCACCATCAGCCCCCAAGGGCACTTCCTGAAAGCATCGTTGTCTTCTTCACGCCACTCGCTTCTCAGTCCAGATGCTCTGCCTTCGGGGAGAGTTCCCAGGAATCCGGGTGCGGACCTGCCTTCCAACACGATACACTACAGGTTGTGAAGCCTCCTGGTTGGGCTCACAAAGCAGAAGCCCACCAGGATGCAAACCTTGGGGTTGCCTTTGACTGTGACTGTTCTGCCAGACCAGGCAGTGGGAGGGCGACCCGATTGCGTGCACCCCCCTCTCCAGAGGAGACGGCCGAATTTTGCAGTTTGTCTCCCAGGAACATCTCCGAACCACCACCTGCCTGGCCAAAGAACTCTTCATGCACTGTGTGCTATTTCATGTCTGCCCTGTGGCCCAGGCGCTGTAGGGACACAGACCTGGGTTGGGGGCATCTTCTCCATTTGAGGGAGGGGGTTGATGGAAATGGATCCCTGGAAAGGAAGCCCTTCTATTCCCAAACTGGCCAGGGGTGGAGCAATCAACTTGGGCCACAGATCTGAAAGACGGGCACGTTATAGAGTCACTACCTCTGTCCTCCATTTCAAGCCCCTCAGAGAAACACTTGGCTGGGGCCACCTTTCCCCTCCCTCTTCCAGGTGGAGAGAGAGGAAGCTGCGCTGGTTGCATCCCCTCTCCTCTCTGCAAAATACATTCAGGGCTACTTAAAGGTTGGCAATATTTAGACCCCTGGACGTTGAACATCTCCCAGCAGGTCTGGCCACACGTCCCAAGGTTGTGGGTTATAGTTCACTGGTATCTGGAGGGTCTTCTATCCCCCCGCCCCCCTTTCATGCTACAAGAAATCGAAATTGTACACTGGTCTAGGGTGCGATTGCACCAGGTCTGGTGCATCTTAGACCAGATTTCATTTCATTCTTAAAAGGTGTGCACAAGCACATGCACTATAAACGGGCCAGCTACAGGAAACCTGTATCATGCGGTCAAGAAAGATGACATGACTGTTCTAAACGCACCAATTTTTGTCTAAATTAAAAGCAATAAACTTTGTTCTACAAAGATGAAGGCAGATGACATTTCTTGAAGCCTGGTTTGGCATTTCGTGGGTCTGGTTCATTTCCTACTCCCGAGTTGACAAGTATTTCCATTGCAAAGAAAAAAGAGCCCCCAACTCCCGCAAGGCAACTGTTGAGTTTGTGGTTGTGCTGCCAGGGCTTGTGTCGTTGCACAAATGCACTTGCTTTTCTTTGTAACGCCCAATGAGGGAAGCTGCTTTTAATAGGGACGTTAAAAGGGGAGAAAACAGACCTGCTCTTGGACAGGAAAGCTGAGGTGGAGGTTTCCTTTGGTGACTCCATAAAGAGCCTGATGAAAAGACTCTTGGGGGGCTGGGCAGTTGGTGGGGTAAATCCTAAAGCTTTTGATGGGGGGGGGGAATGTCTGGGCTGGAATGAGCCCCCGAGAGCAGCCTGGCCGTGGACAGGAGGCACCTGGAAAGAGAAGGGGGAGGATAGCTATGTCCCTCCCTGGGCAGGAGGTGAATCCCACCAAACAAGACACAACCTGAATAGTTTTTATTTTTAGGTCTGAGGTATTCAAAACACTTAGAAATAAATGGTATCCAAAGACATTTAAAAGATTTTTAAAAACCGCTAAGCCTGCATAAACAGAACTCTTTTAAAAAATCCCCCGGGTTTTGCCCCCCCCCCCCAAGACCCAGTCCCCTCCCTCGAGTGGTAAAAGGTTTTATTTTTTTTTTAAAAAGCAAAGCTGGAGTTGCTTCCTTGCTGGCACCAGAGGCATCAGCCCTACCCAGAACCCTTCCGGGGCGATTCTCTTGTCTCCAAGCCTTTCCCTTCCTCCTGTGCTGCCTACCCACCCCAAGCGTATCTCCCCTTTGCTCAGACAGGCCTGGCCGCTTCCACCCCTGGGGAGCAGGGAGGGGGGCTTTCCGCCTGGCTCCAGCTTGGGGGGCTGGCAGTGCTGCGGCTGCTTCTAAGGGAAACGCCGTGTATTATATGTGCAGCCTTTTCAGCAGCTTCAAGCCCCCCCCCCCCCCCCCCAAAATCATGGGACTGCTCGGAGAAGGTGCAGGCACCACAACAAGAGAACCAGAGGCAGCAAAAAAAACACACCAAAGTCCCACCTGGCCCCTGGCATCAAACAGGCCACCTGCAGGGTGGCTGCTGGCTGGAGCGAGCGCTGGGCACTTTTCTGTCCGGGTGGCCTGTCCTTCAAGTGGAAAAGCAAAATACAAATGGATCCTCGGGGTAAACGGAGAGGCGGAGAGGCGTCTGCCTCAGGGGTCCAGCAGGGGATGCCTCTTCCTCAAGCCCCCGGAGTGCCGGCCTGGCCCATGAGTGGAGTGTCCCCCCCCTGAATCTCCTCCTCCGGAGTGGGGTTGGTGTGCACCACAATGACGTTCTCCTCCACCAGCTCGCAGGCCGGGTTGCTGAAAGCCGAGAGGGGCAAAGTGATGCGCTGCATTTCGCGCTCGTTGGCCTTCTGCTCCTGCCGCTCCTTTAGGTCTTTGCCCCTGGAAGAGACCGAAGAGGAGAGGGGTGAGTGTGTGTGTGTGAGTGTGTGTGTGTGTACCTACAACTTCAGCAGGTGTTAAAAGTGTGTTTTGATCAGGGCAACCTGGTCTACCCAGATACGGGACACAGCAGCACCCTGCTTTCACCTTTCAGCCCCAATCCAGGAGCCCCATTCAGGCAGTCACTTTTGCCACAAACTGTTTGTGTGTCAAATTTACATTTACCTTTATTTCTTTGTCGGTAAATATAAATTTAGAATACAATTTGTCTTGGTGCAAATGCTCTCAGGGTACATAAAAGGAAAGACATTTTCGTCAAGAGTCTTGAATCATAAGGTTAACGATAGTCATCGGGTACAATAAGCAATCAAATCGTACTAGGAAACAGTCCATATAACTCGTAAGGATACAAGCGGCAAAGTTACAGTCATAAGTGGGAGGAGGTGGGCGATAAGGGGTGACGAGAAGATTAATAGTAATAGACTTTGTAAATAAATTTCAGCAGGTGTTGTTTTTCCCAAGTCAGGTTAGGCAACCTGAACGGTCCCGTGGCACTTGTGCCCCAAGGAGTTCGTTCTGGGTGCACAGCCACCGCAGCAGATCCAATCGCCTTCCGTGTCTCTGGCAAGCGACACAGAGCAGGGCGGGGGCTGCATTTGGCCTTCGATGGCCCCCGAGAAACAGGAAAGGCTGCTGCTGGAAACCCCCGGCTGGGTTGGGAAAGTTTTCCTCTGCTCCCCAAATGGCGTTCTAGAAACCTTTCCATCACCACTTATGAACCCCCAAATGCTTCAGACAACTCCCTTAGCTAGTTGAGGAATGAGAGACACCCAACCTTGGCAGGTATAAGCCAGAGACAGCTCCCCTAAATCCATCCCATACCTAGTAAATGGGGCGCGCACCCACACAATCCACCCAATTTAATGGAAAATGAATTTTCATTTGCTCCCAGCTATCACAGTTTTCTCCCATGGCCCTTTGTCATCTGTGGAGCAGTGGGCAGAATGTCGTCCCCGGCCCCCTCCCCATAAAAAGGTCGCCCTCCAGGACACTGTCTGGACACATTTCAGAGTCTGAGTGCAGGTTTTAGTTGCATTCGCAAAATTAACCAAAGAGAGAAGCAACCTAGAACTAAGAAGACATTTCTGACCATGAGGACAATTCACCAGTGGAACGGCTGGCCTCCAGAAATCGTGGGAGCTGCATCACTGGAGGGTTTTAAGAAGAGACTGACAGACACTTGTCTGGAATGGGATAGGGTCTCCTGCTTGAGGAGGGGCTGGACTAGAAGACCTTCAGCTCTATTCTATTCTAAGCTCTAAATCTGCAGCAGGTGTGTGGTGGGATGAAGTAAGGAGGCAGATTCCTAAGAGGGAGAAGGTGCATTCCAGAGAAATAAGAGGCAACTCAGCCCACGTATCCTGTGTGAGAGAAAGAGGGCGAGCGCAGCCCCTCCCTAAGAGTTCCCACAGTGTATGGTAGATGCAGATTAGTCCTTAAGTCTGGCTAGATTGTGTCTATAGGTGTGAAACAATAAAGAGCTCAGCTTGGAAGAACCACTGGGTGTCATTCTTGGTTTTGGGCCCAACAGGATAACACAAAGCTGGGGGGGGGGGGGGGATTGCTAACACTTTGGAACTCGAGATTCAAAAGGCTCTTGACACACTGGAGCACTGGGCCCTATCCAACAAGGTGTAGTTCAGTGGCAAGAGAAGTTTTAAGTCCCGCAGTTGGGCAAGAAAAACCAAATGCACAGGTATAAGACCAGGCTTAGGATCTCCTGCTTGAGTAGGGGGTTGGACTAGAAGGCCTCCAAGCTCCCTTCCAATTCTGTTATTCTGTTAATGGCTGCAGGAGCAGCAGGTTTCTGACCAATTCCCCAAAGGTTCTGCCTCAAGCTAGAACAAAAGAGGCCCCGCCCCACTAAGAACCTGCCTAAAGCCAAGCTCCAAAGCATGGAGGAGCGCTAAGAATAAGAGAGAGAGAGAGAGAGAGACCTTAAGACAGGAAAGAAAACGCAGAGAAACACACACACACCCTGCAACCGTCATGCGCTTCCTTTCCAGACAAGGTGGAGGCTGGGGGTTTGCAGGAACCCCAAGGGAGGCTGACTGAGGGGTCCACTTATTAATCCCCCCCATCCCCAACCCCCCTGGCCATCAAGGGCTGCTGTTCCCCACTACTTGCCTCTTGTACAGGTAGCCCAGCACAATCCCCACTCCGATGCCAATGAGGACAACAACCATGATGATGCCCAACACGTAGCCTGTAGTGGGGGGGGGGGAGAGAGGGCAGCCAGGGGGTTAGTGATCCCCCCCCCTTCCCCCCCCCCCCCCCCCAATCTGAGCCTGTACACCTTGGCTCTCCAACCTTGGCCATTTTAAGCCTGGCTTCGACTCCCAGGAATCCCCTGCCAGCAAAAGTTAATCCCCAGGCTTAAAGTTGCCAAGGTTGGAGAGCCCTGTTCCAGGATGTTCCCTCCCAAAGTAACCTGGGTTAGTTGCCAGTCTTTGCAAAGGGCTCCGCAGGACCCAGGGGCTCTTCCCCACTTTGCAGGGGTAGGCAGGTGTGTGTATGTGTGTGTGTTCCCCCTCCCTGCACAACACGCACTGCAAATCCAGGAGCTCGGGGAGTTTTTCCCCCGAACAGCAGAAGCAGCGCGGCAGACCCTCCCGGGAGGCCCCGCATGGCCCGCTCACCCAGCGTGCCCAGGTCCTTCTTCTCGCTCGGCTTCGTCTTCACCCTCTGGCTGATGCCCACCACGCCCGACTGCACCGCGCCCGACTCGCCCCCGGCGGGCTCGAAGGCTTCGGGCGGCTCCTGGGCGGCGGGCGTCCCGGCGGGAAGGGCCGGCGAGCCCGGCGGAGCGGAGGTTGCATCTGCCGAGGAAGCGTACGAAAACAAGAATTGCAAGGGACCCTGGAGGTCGTCTAGTCGAACCCCCCGCTCATGGAGGGAGACCGTCGACCAGGTCCCGGGAGGGCAGAGGCGGCTCAGCCGGGCAGGGAAGGGCGGGGGCGGCAGTCCAACCGGGCCAGAAGGGACCCGGACCCCTCCGGCCCCGGGGCCGCAAATGATGCCCAGCAATCAGTAAAACAATTAGCTGCTATATTTGAAGAGTCCCATTTTGGTATTTGGCCGCCTCCCCCTCGGGCTGCCCGAACGAAAAAGGGCCGCCACCCGCGGAGGAGCCCGACTCATTTCAGGCAGCCAACGGGGGGGCGGAGGCCATCGGGTCCGCAGGGCTGAGAGTTATAGGAGCTGTAGCACAAGGGACCCGGACAACCGTCCCAGGGCTGGGAGTTATGGGACCTGGAGTTCAAGGCACCAGCCCCCCCCCCCCGATAAAGGGCGGGGCTTGGGCGCGGGGCGGGGCAGACACCACGTGCCGGGGGCGGGGCCAGGTTGTTTACTCCGCGAAGCAATGCGGCTGGGATGACATCACCCCGGAGGGGGCCCGTCGCTACAACGAGGACCAGCCAATCCCGAGCCGTGGAGGGCGGGGACTCGGGAGGAAAACACGACGTCACCC